TAGTCAGTGCAGTTCAAAATCCAAGTCAAGATATCCGCCACAGATGATGAAACTTAGTAAACACAAAAAAGGCAATAACTCAGTCAGTTTTTCAAATACTGAGCTAAAGTTTGGTGTGGTAGTAGATGAGAGTCGCCCCCAACTTATACTTGAAAGTTTTAACACAGAAGACCCAGCATCATGGAGTGATGTTGTACAACTTTTTTCCAAGGATTATACAAAACGACATTAAACTCTGGCAGGAAAGGCGGGTAGTGACATGAATTTCTGAACCAACAAAGACAAAAGTACATCAAAATTCAATATAAAGCAAAACCACTAACCATCCATCCATCCGTCCATCCATCCATTTTCTTCCACTTATCCGGAGTTGGGTCGCGGGGACAGCAGCTTAAGTAGGGAAGCCCAGACTTCCCTCTCCCCAGCCACTTGGGCCAGCTCCTCCGGGGGAATCCCGAGGTGTTCCCAGGCCATCCGAGAAACATAGTCCCTCCAGCGTGTTCTGGGTCTTCCTCTGGGTCTCCTCCCGATGGGACATGTCCGGAACACCTCACCAGGGAGGCGTCCAGGAGGCATCCTAACCAGATGCCTGAGCCACCTCAACTGGCTCCTCTCGACGTGGAGAAGCAGTGGCTCTACTCTTTAATCCCTCCCGGATGATCGAGCTTCTCACCCTATCTCTAAGGGAGAGCCCAGACACCTTGAGAAAACTAATTTCGGCCGCTTGACCACAGATGAGGGTAGGAACGTAGATCGATTGACAGGACCTCCTCCCTGAACCGGAGAGGGCACTCTACCCTTTTTCGGCTCAAGACCATGGCCTCGGATTTGGAGGAACTGATCTTCATCCCGGCTGTGTCGCACTCGGCTGCGAACAACTCCAGCGAAAGCTGTAGATCACGATCTGATGAAGCCAACAGGACTACATCATCTGCAAAAAGCAGAGACGCAATCCTAAGCCCACCAAAACGGATCCCCTCAACACCTTGGCTGTGCCTAGAAATTCTGTCCATAAAAGTTATGAACAGAATTGGTGACAAAGGGCAACCTTGGCGGAGTCCAACTCTCACTGGGAACAAGCCCGACTTACTGCCGGCAATGTGGACCAAGCTCTGACACCGGTCATACAGGGACCTAACAGCCCATATCAAAGGGCCTGTTACCCCATACTCTCAGAGTACCCCCCACAGGGTTCCCCGAGGGCTGCGGTTGAATACCTTCTCCAAGTCCACAAACCACATGTAGACCAGTTGGGCAAACTCCCACGCACCCTCCAGGACCCTGCTGAGAGTGTAGAGCTGGTCCAGTGTTCCACAACCATGACGAAAACTGCACTGCTCCTCCTGAATCCGAGGTTCGACTATCCGATGGACCCTCCTCTCCAGAAACCCCGAATAGACCTTACCAGGGAGGCTTAAGAACGTGATCCCCCTGTAATTAGAACACACTCTACTGTCCCCCTTTTTGAATAGGGGGACCACCACCCCGGGCTGCCAATCCAGGGGAACTTCCCCCGATGTCCACCAATATTGCAGAGTCGCATAAGCCAACACAACCCTACAACATCCAGAGCCTTAAGGAACTCCGGGCGAATTTCATCCACCCCTGGGACCCTTCCACCGAGGAGCTTTTTAACCACCACGGTGACTTCAACACCAGAGATTGGAGGGCTTGAGCCAGAGTCTCCAGGCTCCGCTTCTTCAGCGCAAGACGTGCCGGTGGGATTGAGGAGGTCTTCAAAGTATTCCGCCCACTGACCCACGACATCCCGAGTTGAGGTCAGCAGCACACCACCGCCACTATAAACAGTGTTGGTGGTGTACCGCTTTCCCCCCCCTGAGACGCCGGATGGTGAACCAGAATCGCCTCGAAGCCGTGCAGAAGTCATTCTCCATGGCCTCTCCAAACTCCTCCCATGCCCGAGTTTTTGCCTCAGCGACTATCCGAGTCGCATGTTGCTTGGACTGCTGGTACCCATCAGCTGCTTCCGGGGTCCCACAGGCCAAAAAGGCCCGATAGGACTCCTTCTTCAGCCTGACAGCTTCCATCACTGCCGGTGTCCACCACTGGGTTCCAGGGTAGCCGCCACGACAGACGCCGACAACCTTGCGCTGCAGCTCCGTTAAACCGCCTCGACAATAGAGGCACAGAACATGGCCCACTCGGACTCAATGTCCCCTACCTCCCATGGAACATGTTCTAAGTTCTCCTGGAGGTGGGAGTTAAAGCTCCATCTCACAGGAAACTCTGTCAGATGTTCCCAGCAAACCCTCACAATACGCTTGGGCCTGCAAGGTCTGACCGGCATCCTCCCCCACCATCGGAGCCAACTCACCACCAGGTAGTGATCAGTGGACAGCTCCGCCCCTCTCTTCACCTGAGTGTCCAAGGCATGTGGCCGCAGATCAGATGAGATGACGACAAAGTCGATCATCGAACGGCGGCCTAGGGTGTCTTGGTGCCAAGAGCACATATGGACACCCTTATGCTTGAACATGGTGTTTGTTATGGACAATCCATGATGAGCACAGAAGTCCAACAACAGAACACCACTCGGGTTCAGATCGGGGGGGGGGGGGGGGTTCCTCCCAACCACACCCCTCCAGGTCTCACTGTCATTGCCCATGTGAACATTGAAGTCCCCCAACAGAACAAGGGAGTCCCCAGGAGGTGCACTTTCCAGTACCCCCTCCAAGGACTCCAAAAAGGGTGGATAATCTGAGCTGCCGTTTGGTGCATAAGCACAAACGACAGTCAGAACCCGTCCCCAACACGTAGGCGGAGGGAGGCTACCCTCTCATTCACCGGGGTGAACCCCAACACATAGGCACCAAGATGGGGGGCAATAAGTATGCCCACTCCTGTTCGGCACCTCTCACCAGGAGCAACTCCAGAGTGGAAGAGTGTCCAACCCCTCTCAAGGAAACTGGTTCCAGAGCCACTAACCAGACAAGCAAAAACAACACTCCACTGCTACTCTTATATTACACAATTATCTCCCATTTATACAAATGATTTAAAAAGTTCACATCAAATGGATTGTACAAAAACATTTGACTGATAAGTGTTACAATTTTGACATTGGTTACTAATAAAGCTTTTATTTAGCCTCAAGGTACAAAAGTTTGAAAATAGCTTATTTTTAAATTATTAGGAAGTATGTCTCATTCCGCAGTGGCCCTAAATGAAAAGTCAATTGACAGCTGAGTCTCTCTTTGGGACTTTATAATCTCCTCAAGCTGTAAAAATTAAGGAGTGCATCATCTGTTCTTAAACTGGTGGCTCTACCATATATTAAACTTTTAGCAACTTTCAGTTTCCATCCATCCATTATCTTTATCCGCTTCTTCCTTCGGGTCACGGGGGTCACTGGCGCCCATATCCAGCAGTCACTGAGCGAGAGGCGGGGGACACCCTGGACAGGTCTCCAGTCCATCACAGGGACACATAATTTATTTATTTTTTAACTTCTTGTATTTATAGAGTGTACTATATTCTAAAGTTGGTACTGCAGTGGGTTTTGTTTCAGCACTTTTAAACCATAATAAAAAGTGATCCACTTGTTTTAATCTTCACTGATTTGTTTGAGACCAACAGTATGTTCAGTAATATGTTTGATAAGTAATCAGCTCAATTAGAAAAAATATGCAGCCTTGGTAAATTTCACTTCGATTCAGTGGGCATGAGGTTTCTCCAGCACCTTGTCACTTGGTTGAAATTTTTTTTTCAGTTGCGTTGAAAGTCCAGCTGACCAAATCCATAACAGTAATTTACGATTCGGAAGATGTGTAAATAGAAGCTCCGATGCACGGGACTGAGAGCAAAAGCAGGAGGAGGGCAGGAGAATGTGAGTGAGAAAAAAAAAGGTCACCCCTAGTGATCACAAAAGCCCCTTCAACAAATCTAAAGTGGCCCATGGGCCACCAGCTGATAATCACAGTTGTAGCATGTTGATGCAGCTCTGAACACTTAATTTAATGAACCAAGGTGTAAAAATGGCTCATTTGATCGTAAAGGTTGCAGACCCCTGGGTTAGTGCATAGCCTTTTCCTAATTTGTTTTAAACTGCAAAAGTTGATTTAAAATCACATTTACATATTTAACTTTCTGTAGCTGTTGGTGTTTTCCCCAACGTTTTGTGGAAGTCATGCAGATTTAAGCCAAACTGCAACTCCGTCCATTAAAAAGTATATGACAACTCAACAACTTTCTGGGTGTCCATAAGACAGGATCATCTATGCTTTAAATTTTTGACATTACCAGCATACAATCTGTTTTACACAAACCAAATTAAAGACCTGGCATATCACTCACCACCACCATACCAGAGCGTTAAACTAAGTTCATCTTATGATAATGGTTATAGTTGATATGGTCAAGTCTTCAAAATAACGTCATATTTGAACTGGGTTGACTTCAAAAGATAATCAGTTGTAGATGTACATCCAATAATATGTTACGAGAGTTTAATCAAAACCTGTCCTGTGAATAATGAGATATTTTACTAAAAGTTTTGACAACAGTTTTTACAGTTTAGTTTTAAGCTAAGATCTTGCAAATGTTAGGGATTACTCTCCACTACTACCATGCCAAATGTTAGCTCAATATTTGTAAAATGGAATAAACAGTAGCCACCGTCATAAAAAGTTGCTTAGCTGTGGTGCTCATTTAAAATCAAACTAATTTTGAAATTTAATGAAATGTAAATTCACATTCTATGATTACTTTATGAGAATTTCATTAAAATATGTTCATTAGATCACAAGAAATGTCAATAACAGACAACTGAACACATGCCTGAGCACACACAAAACATTATTCCTTGCAGCCAAAAGTGACAGAACATTTAATTTACTTGTACTGAATCAATTTAAGGACAAACCGTTTCTCATTTAACATTTTCTGTTTGTCTTTTTAGATCATTCAACATAACCTGGATTGGTCATAGTCATATGTTTAGACAGAGATTTATTTTCTCATTTCTAAGTTCTACATCTAGTATGGGCAGACAGCGCCTTCTGAGCAGCTTTTTTCTGATTGTCCTGATTAGTTTAACAAATGCTGGATTTGTCAGAAAAATCCTGCGACATCGACGACAGACTTTGTCGCCTCCTAAAGAACCTAACATCACCATCCCCAGTGCTGGACACCCTGTTGTTTTCAGCCACTTATATAACATCAATGTACCTGCCAGTTCCCTGTGCTCCGTGGATGTGGATGCACCAGAAGGCGTTCAGATCCATCCCAAGGACACAGTAACAGGCCACCACATCACTGAACACACACTTGATGGAGAGAACCAGATCATCTTCACCCATCGCATCAACATACCCCGACAGGCCTGTGGCTGCAAGGAAGACCTGCCTGGTCTGAAGGCTCTCATGCGTCGATTAGAAATGCTTGAAGGAGAAGTTTCAACCTTGAGGGATCAGTGCAGCAGTGAAGGGGCCTGCCGAAGTGCACAAGTTTTGGGTAGGTGGGATTTGTTTGCCATATTTGTGTATTGCATTGTGATGTTTTGGGAAATCAATCATAACCTTCAACCCTATGAGATTTGCCACAAAAACAATATTTCTTCTGCCTTTTTTTTAAAGGAGAAATGAGAACAAAACCCTACTGCAATGGCCATGGAAACTACAGTGCTGAAACGTGTGCTTGCATATGTGAGCCTGGTTGGAAGGGCACCAACTGCACTGAGCTCGATTGTCCTGGTAGATGCCAGGAACGAGGCCGCTGTGTTGACGGAAAATGTGAGTGCTTGAAGAGCTTTACCGGAAAAGACTGCGAGTTCGAAATCTGCCCTTTTGACTGTGGAGCCCAAGGCCACTGTGTGGGTGGTGTTTGTATTTGTTCAGATGGGTTTTATGGAGAAGACTGCTCACAAAGTCAGTGCTTGAACAACTGCTTGGGCCGTGGTCGCTGCGAAAACAGAGACTGCGTATGTGATGAACCTTGGACTGGCTTGGACTGCTCTGAACTCCTCTGCCCCAAAGACTGTTATGACCGTGGACACTGCAAGAATGGCACATGCTACTGTGATGAGGGCTTTGGCGGAGAGGACTGTGGGCAGCACACCTGCCCCAACAACTGCAGGGGCAATGGTTTCTGTGTTGATGGTAAATGCATTTGCTCTGCAGGGTACAATGGCGAAGACTGCTCTCAGCTCACCTGCCTCAACGACTGTAACAGTAGAGGCACATGCTTCAATGGAATGTGCATTTGTGACTCAGGCTATCAAGGTGAAGACTGCAGCCAGTTGGCATGTCTAAACATCTGCAACAGCAGAGGTCAGTGCATAAACGGACAGTGTTCGTGTGATGTTGGCTTCCAGGGAGATGACTGCTCCGAGCTTTCCTGTCCCAGGAACTGCCAGCTGAGGGGACGCTGTGTTAACGGACAATGTGTATGTGATGAAGGCTTTGCCGGCGAAGACTGCAGTGTTCACATCTGCCCCTCAAACTGCTATGCCCGTGGGGAGTGCATCGACGGACGCTGTGTGTGTCACGCAGGCTTTGCTGGTGAAGACTGCAGTGATTTAAGCTGTCCCAACAACTGCCAAAGTCAAGGTCGTTGTATCGATGGGCAGTGTGTCTGTGATGAAGGATTCAGTGGAGTGGACTGTAGTCAGAAAGCTTGTCCAAATGACTGCCTGGCACTGGGTCACTGTCATGAGGGTAAATGTGTCTGTCAAGAAGGCTACACTGGAGAGGATTGCTCTGTCCTCACATGTCCAGAGAACTGCAACAAAAGGGGGCGTTGTGTCAACGGGAGGTGCACCTGTGACAGCGGATATGAAGGAGAGAGCTGTGCAGAGCTGAGTTGCATTAACAGCTGCCAAGACAGAGGTCGCTGTGTGGACGGTCAGTGCATCTGTGAGGAGGGCTACATTGGGGAGGACTGCTCAGAAGGTAAGAAGTTCTCAGTATGAAAATGCACACAAAAAATTGGCAGATGTTTCTGAAAGTTTCCACAAAGCACTATAATACAAGTCCAGAATAGTGTAATTTTTTCCATTCTCAAAATTCACTCACCACTCTTCCTGGGAATATTTATTTTGGTGGACATAAAAAAAGATTCTTGGATTGTGTGTTAATGCTTCCTGCTCTTAGTTTGTGCTTTCTTGGCAGATGTTCACACCACAGTCAGATTTAGTTTTGCAGTTTACCAGTAGTGGCTCCTGACATAAATGTTAATGTGAAATTAATTTCCTGAATTACAAAATCACACACAAAACGTTAAAAATGTATCTAAAAATAAAATAAAATTTACAAATAATGCATTGGAAAAATGTTGCTTAATATTGATTTTATTGCTTTAAAAAAAACAACTTTTGCACAAAGGTGTCACCTCTTTTTTCCCTGCAACGAGTCAACGCTGTGTTTCAGGAAAACATTTTTTCTTGTTCTGTTCAGGTCTGGTCTGTCTGTTCTAAATGGATTTCTAAACAGAATACCTCCACTGTTGGACACAATAGTTTTTGCTGCATGCATTTGATCATGTGAGGCCTAGAGTTAGTAGTGGCCAAATCTATACTCTAAAACCAACTAAATGTGTCCCTAGAGCAGAATATTTTATGCTCCAATAAGATTTTGCCGGAGCTGCTTATTCTGATCACAGAAAACAGGGGTAGATATAATAAATTATTTGATAAATCCACTTGAAAATGCATTACAGTACTCATAATCAGAACAAGCTTTTTATATCATTGTACCAAGATACAGCGAGAATATGTCATTGCAGTCGTCCAAAAGATGGGCGGATTGCACGTATCTACTGCTACTGGAGAGCAGTCCCTTATCCTTCTTCAGAATACGCTTTTAGATAGAAAAGGAGAAAAAGCCATGAGGATAGGATAATGGCATTACAAAAAAACGTCTCTTCACACCTTGTCCTAACAGGACAAGATTTAAGACATAAAAAAAACTCTGCCAGCAAGCACATTTATAAACAAGTTACATATGCATTTGATGTCAAGGTGGTCCATGAAGCACTTCCAAATAGTCCATTGTCCTGATAAGATGGTCAGCCGGCACAGTTCTGATAAGCCTCCACAGAAGTTCTCCAAAGGGGGGGTTGTGCAATAGATCAAGCTTTTCCTTAGTTTACACGTTTCCCAGGAGAAATGGATATGTTGGTCTATTTTAGAGGCCAACCAGGGGAGTCAGCTTCAGATGAGCCACAATTGTTGATTTTTCCATAAATCTTGTCGGCCTTGAGGCCTACTGGTACTTTCAAGATCTGAAATGGACAGATTAGGGTGCATTCTACTGCTCTGTGCTTATGAGCCCCTCCAAGGTCATTCCCAACATGCTGGCGAGTCCCAAAGCCACAGTTGGCCTGCGATTCTCACAAATTGTTTCCATCTCACGGTTTAGCTCATAAATCAGCTGATTTTGAGTTCTCAAAGAACAAACCAAAACTTCACAAGCAGGCAGCCTGATGAGGGCCAAATTGGCTGCAGCTGTCTTCTTGTATGTTGTAAACCAGGAACCAGCCAATTCCAAAAAGCAGGAAACCTCTTATCATAAATCCACTTGTATATGTCTTCGGTGTCCTCCTGAGATTCTCAGCAGAACATTTTGTCGATTGCATTGAAAGTCCAGTTGTTCAGATCCATAACAGTAGTTTTCATTTCGGTAGATTTGTAAAATAGGAGCTCCAATACACAGACAGAGAACAAAAAAAGCAGGAGGAGAACAGGAGAGGGAAGAGAATGCGTCCGCCTCGTACAAGAACGAGTGAGGAAAGAGGTTTCCTGCTTTTTGGAAT